CTGATTTTTCTGCTCCCTTTGCTGTATCATTTAAGCTGAGAGAACAGTCCCTTCTGTGGTCTTCCTGCAGGTGGTTCCTATCCTACTGCAGTCCTGCCTACTGTGTGGGGTTGGAAGTGTGGGACAAGGGGACTGTGTACCACTATTTGAATAGTTAGCATTGTGGCAGGAATGTGGGGAGTCCACGGTGCTTCTGGTCCATTCTTTTCATTGGATGGGATATTTCCTTTCATTAAAAATTTTGTGTATAAGTGTTCTGCCAGTATATATGTGTGTGTGTTTTTAACACATGTATGGCTGATGTTCTCAGGGCGGAGGAGAGCATTGGATTCCCTAGTACTAGAGTAAAAGACAGCTGTAAGCCTTCATATGGGGGCCGAGAATTAAACCAAAATCCTTTGGAAAAGCAGCAAGTGCTCTTAATCATTGAGCCATCTCTTAAGCCCCCTAATTCAAACAAACAAACAAACAACAACAAAAAAGATCTCTAAGAAGAAAAATAGAACATAAACTGAGGATTACCTTTTTGTTGCTATTGTAACAGAGTAACAAATTTAGGTGCTGAGAGCAATTGTATTTATTTGTTTTGAACTCAGAAGTGTAAAATGGGTTTGCATATTTGGGAGTACTACCATAAGTCTCTAACCTTGGCTCTTGGGAAGTGGAGGCAGGAAAATCAAGAGTTCAAGACTAGCTGGGGTAGTGGCATATACCTTTAATCCCAGCGCTTGGGAGGCAGAGACAGGCAGATCTCTGTGACGTCGAGACCAGCCTAATCCACAGAGCTAGTTCCAGAACAGCCAGGCTCTTACACAGAGAAACCCTGTCTTGAAAAACAAAACAAAACAAAAAAGTTAAAGGCTGTCATCAGGTGTGGTTCTCTTCTTCTCTAGCGGGCTGTTGGCTACCAGCCCATGAAGTTAGGAGGAGCAGAAGGCAAGACACAGGGCTCGGAAGGCAGCGAACACGATGGAAATGACCTCCAGGAACCACTTCAGCGAGATAGTTCAACTTTATTCAGGGAGAACAAAGACTATATAGTCCTTGAGGAGTGGGTGAGAGGCTCCCAGGATAGGTGTACATAATTGTTTAGAAGTAGGCGCTTCAAGAATGCTTGGTTTGCATTAAGCAGCATGCTCCTATCATATGAACGGGAACACAGTACCTAGTTATCCTATAGGCACAGGGAGAGGAGATCTTGCAGGGAACTGTGTTAAAGGCCATGTACCAGATATGGCTAGGGGCATCTATGCCTAAAGACACTCTCCACATGAGGTTAGACAGAGAGTAGGAGGAGCTGGGGAGCGAAAGCCCTCCATCTAGTGCTAAGCTCAGAATGAGAGGACTGCAACCTCAAACAGCAGGGTCCTTCTAACAATCAGGTATGTACTGAGTTCAAGGACTGAGTTTGAGGCCAGCCCAAGCAACTTAAGATCCTGTGTAAAACAAGAATAAAAACAAACCCAGCAAACCCAAACAAAACACTGCCACCACCAAGTATCCAGGATGCAGGGCTGTGTTCCTTATGAAGGCCCCAGGAGAGTCTCTCTCCCAACCCCCATTGTGTGGCGTGTTTCTTTCCTTTCCTGCACAGTGAAGGCCGTACTGGGAATTTAGTCTAGAGCACAGTAGGCAAGAACTCTACCACTAAGCAGCATCCTTACTCTTCTCTGTAAAACAAATCATTCTCACTAATGCTTCCATCATTACATCTCTGACCTTTATACTGCTTCCTTCTTCACATAGATGACCTTCTGATTACATTGGATTCACTCAGACAATTCAGACTACTCTTGTCTCAGCATCTTTACCTTAGCTACATATGTAAGTCCTATCATTAAGGTAACAGATTTTGAAGGTTAGGACTGGACATCCTTCTGCTCTTGTTGTGCCTTCCATATATCCTCATGTTCACCACTTTCAGCAACAGCAGTTTTTAGTTTCTGCCTTTGACTTGTTCTGCGTAGCTTTTTTGTTCAGGTGGAACATTTTAAAAACAAATCTCAGAACCTATAAGTATTTCTGAGTATCTGTTTTAGGACATAACCAACAGTACCTTTCTCAGTCCAGCAAAAGTTAGCTAATGGCCAGCTCACATTCCATTTTTTACTTGTCCTACTATGTCACAGTCTTATAGTTGGTAAAACCAGGACCTTACATTGCTTGTACTTTTTATCCGAAGAAAATAGATCACCTCTTGATTTACTGTTCCTGATGTCATCGAAATGTTATTTCCTCAGTCCTCTGTAGACGGGTAGTTGTACGAGAGGTCTAAGTAAATTCATTTGGCATTTTCAGCAAGAGCAGTTCTTGAGTGGTGCTTAGTCCCTCCGTGTGTGTATGTATGTGTGTGTGTAGAGAGAGCTTTTGGAAGTTAGTTCTTTTCCTCTACTACATAGGTGACAGGAACTCAGCTCATAGGCTTCGTAGTAAAAGTCTTTACTGAGTCATTTCACCAATCCCATTGTGTTTGTTTTGTTGCTGATTTTTTAAATAAAAATTACTTCATTGTAATGAACTCATAAAAACATCATAGAACATTTAAGCAAACATTTGCCCAGTCCCAAACTGTATATCCCAACGAACAGTTAGAATAGCCACCTGAGGCATTGGAGCTTTGGTAAGAGTAAAACATATCTTATTTTTGAGACAGTGTCTCTCACTGTCTGGGGCTTGCTGATAGGATAGGCTGGCTGGCCAATTAGCTCCAGGGATCTTCCTGTCTCTGCCTCCACAGTGCTAGGGTGACAGTGTCTGCTATTATCTGCAGCTTTTTATGAAGGTGCTGGGAATTGATTGTATCTCATTATGCTTATTGGACAAACTCTTTACCAGTTGAGTTTTTGCTCCAGCCTTTATCTTGTTAGTGAGCATATGGCGTTTGGTTGTTGGATTTTTCAGGTGACAGGGTGGATTATCAGGTGTGAGGTATTGTTATACTGATGCCTTTGTTATACACCTTAAGTCTTCTGACAGCTATGGCTTAGTGGTTATTGGTGGTTATTGCCAGTGGCCACTGTTACTGTCAGGGTTTATAAAATCCTCTAATAATATCATTTGTCTTGTGTTTATTAGATATTATATTCACTTTTGATCATATTTAAAAGGGGAGGAGGTGAATTTGTGGTGGTCTACAGGGTTGATAGTTGCTAGGTTGTGTGTATTGACTCTGTTAAGTTTGTTTAAGCTATTTGGGCAATGCTTCTCCTCCACCCAATAGGAGTTAGGTAGTATGAGACAGACAGGGACTAGAAGCCCCAGGGTAGTAAGCATGGCTTCTCAGCTTGCCTGCAAAAATTCATTGTGCTTAGATTTTTACACTTCTCTGTCATTCTGTAGAAACAACAGGAAGTTTGAAGGAAATGGGTCTGGGAAGATCTGTAACAACAAAAATATGGAATTGACCTTGTTGCCAAGGTTGGAGAGGATTTTGAGAAGGGGTATAGTATGTTTAGCACTTCTAGGTGCTTTGTATTGGAAAGGTGGAGGCAGAAATCCACATCCTTGCTTAACAGTCTCAAAGCAGCAGGGATTTTGGTAAGAGCTTGCTGAAAATAACATTCACCTCTGCATGTTCATTGTCCCTAGATACTTCAGTATAGAGCAGCAACAGCGATGGGATACAGTAAAACTGAATGTGTCAAGAGTGTCTGCAGGAGTTGAGTTTGGGGTTATAAGGCAGTCTTTGAAACAGAATCAAGATTTTGTTTTAAGTCAGTCATTTTATGAAGGCAGAATAAATGCAGTTCTGTTGGGCAAAGTAAAAAAGTTAGTATATTGAAGAGTAGGTAGCTCAGATCAGACATGACAAGTTGTTTATCAGATGTGATAAACAGACATAAAGGAGGACCATGGGAAAAGCAGTATCCAGGTAAGAAGAAGCTAGAAGCTTTAAAGGGAGGGCAGAGGGTCAGAAGACCCTGATGTGTACCTGCTGCATTGTACACATACCAGTCCAACAGCTTTTTCTTAGGGTTGATTCTTTGTCAGTGATGAGCGAACCAGGGAGTCATTCTCCAGTCAGTGATTTGGACCTTGTATATAGAAAGGTTTTGGAGGCCAAGAAGTGAATAGAGACTATAGGGTTTGTGGCCTACCACCCATACACTCTGCCCTGCAAGTGTAACACCTCCTGTTCCACTCAGGATGCCCAGACAGCGGTTTTACATTGCTTTCTTAAAAGGAGTACTAAAGATAAAATCATTGTAAAAATCAGACTTAGGTTAGCATTGTCTTCATCTTCTCTAGTTTTCTAGGTTCTATTTTCCCTTTCCCCCTTTGGATTTTATATTTTTTGTTTGCTTAGAAACAGTTTCTTTCTGGGTAGCACAGGCAGGCTTCAACCTCTGATCCTTCTGCGTTGGTGTTCCGAGTTCCTGAATTATAGACCTATACCATGCCTGTCCTGGTTTCTGTATTTATTTTTGGCACTATGTTGCTGAGGCTGATATTGAACCTGGGAGCTCAACTCATCTCTTCTTGCTTCAGTCCCTGATGAGTAACTGGGATTACAGGTGGATGCTACCCTTCCAGCCAGCTTGGATTTTTTTATTTTTTAACTGAACTGTTTTTGACTACTGCTGTAACCAATTCCTCAGCCCAAGTTGCTCTGAGCCGTCCTGCTTATCCTTGGTTCCAGCCCTTTGATGGAAATGACCAGTGACTGGAAACTTTATCCTATGGTAAGGATGGCAGATTCCAGATCATCTTCAAGATCCCAGGTCCACATATTAGAGCAAAGATTTTTCTAACACAAGGTCTCTGGCCCACAGGTAGCCTCCTTCTACTCTGGTCCCAGGTGTATTCATGTATTGAGAGGACAGGGCATTGTCAAGGTGGGATTCCTTTTTGTACTGGCCATTGTTACCAGAATTGGTTTCTAATAAGAAATAAACTGGGAAACATATTAAAGATCCTCTCTGTGTCTTTTACTGACTCCATGTTTCTGTTTTTGGCTCTTGATAATTTAATTAATGTTGTGTGTGCATATTCCCTTCTAGGTTGGAGCTTTCAGGACTCTTGATGAGCACATTTTTGCTGTGGTTGGTACTCAGTTAAACTTGATATGTATCAGCTAGAATCTTTTATTAAAAATATTTTTTGAAACAGGATCTCTCTTTCTCTACATAGCCAGGCTGTTCTAGAACTCATTACATAGACCACGCTGGCCTCAAACGCACAGAGATCCATTTACCTCTGCCTCTGGAAAGTGCTAAAGTAAGTCACAACACCTGAAAAATCCTGGTACTGTCTAGCCCATCATTTATATCCTGTCTTCTCTCTTCGAAGGCTGTCAACCTCATTCCATCCCTAGAAAATTTGGAAAGGTTTGCCATAGGCTGAAAAGGATCATATATGCTCTTTCAGGAACCAGTGACTTTCAAAGATGTGGCTGTGGCCTTCACCCAAGAAGAATGGGGGCAGCTGGACCTTGTTCAGAGGACTCTGTACCGTGACGTGATGCTGGAGACCTATGGACACCTACTGTGTGTGGGTAAGGTGGAAACTGACAGTATCCTCAGTTATTCTGTGAAGGAAGTATTTATATTTTTGAAGGGCTGAGATAATCATGAACGTTGAGATTCAGGGATGAAACTCCTAATACTTATGAAGTGTAGAAGGAGAAGGATATAGAAGGAGAAGGATATATATATATATATATATATATATATATATATATATATATATATATATATTCTCCCTCAGTGAGGAGTGACATGAGAAAGAGGCAAGGGAAGATTTTTTTTTTTCCTTCTGGCAATTCCCAAGCGTTGTCTCCAAAGTCACATGTCTTTCCTCCATGTGTAGGGAATCAGATTGCTAAGCCTGAAGTCATCTCCCTGTTGGAACAAGGAGAAGAGCCATGGTCAGTGGAGCAAGCATATCCTCAAAGCACTTGTCCAGGTGAGGTGAAGCCACAGGCATGAGCTTTTCCTAAAAGCTCTCCTTTTTGAGAACTGGGCTAAGGGTAGAGAATTATTATTATTATTATTATTTTAATACATTCTGAATTCCTTCTAGAGAGATTTCATTTTCTTCATGTTTTCCTTTCTATCTACTGCATGATTCAGAGCAGAGCCTCTCATAAGGTTGCAGTTGTAAGCTGAGCGCCTCCCCCCACTTTCTGTCTGCACTGTGGTTGTTCATATTTGCCTTCTCTAACATATATTCTCAGTTATTTACCTACTTAAAAATTTATTTTTAAATTTCTAAATTGTAGTCTATGGCTTCAAACACTTATTTACAAAAGCAAAAAACAAAAATAGTTTTTGAATATAGGCTATGTTTTCACCAATCTAAAAAAGACAAAAGCTACATAAAATGTATAAGTTGAAATTTCCTATACACTCACTCTAACCCACATTGTCACATTACTATTACTTCCCAGTATACATGTAATAGATTCTCTTTACTATGTCTTTTTCTTGTTGTTGTTATTGTCTTAGTGGTTGTGGTGAGGATTACAATTAACCTCTCTAGTTATCTTATTGGATTAATACTAATTTAATCTTAATAAGTAATATAATAATATAACAATAAATATAATAAAATAAATAATCTAATAATGATAAATAAAATAATATAATAATAAACTTTGCTTTTGTATAGCTTGTCCTCTTTTACACACTAAATGTATTTTATGTTATTAGCACACATTTATAATTAATTATGTTTTATCTTTTTAAATTTTCAGCTATTAGAATTCTTAAATTTTTGAATTATATTTATTTGTATGGAGGTGGTAGGTTGGGAATAGGGGAAGGTCAGAAGATAATTTGCAGGAATCAGTTTTTTCTTTTCGTCATATTAATGTTTCAGGTTGTCAGATTTGGTGGCAGGTATCACTGAGTTATTGTGTTATTGATTTTATCTCTAAAATCAGATAAAGAGATGTTATAAAGATAACACTGTAATTTGCTGAGTGTGGTGGTACATGCTTTTAATTCTGAGCACTTGGGAAGAAGAGGCAGCTGAATCACTGAGTTCCAGGCTAACCTTGTCTACAAAGCAAGTTGCAGTACAACCAAAGCTATATAGACAAACACTGTCCTGAAAAAACAGAAAAGAAGAAAAAGAATGTGATTTTGCTGTCTTGTTACTATGTAATTTCTTTGAGTTACTTCTTAGGTTTTTTTTTTTTTTTCATGTCAGCCTAAAGGTCTTTTAAAATTTTTTTATTTTTAATTGTGTATGTGTGTGTGCACTGTCACAAGTGCCCAAAATTATAGGTGGTTTTGTGCTATTATTTAAATATAGATGATCAAACTTTGTCACATGGCTGTTTCACCATACTGTACTTTTTTTCTAGTCCATCTCTTATATCATTGCTCTAAAACTGTTGCTTTAGTGGTCACAGGAATTGCTTCTTCAGGGGAATCTTTATACCATGAAATTTCCTTTTGATAAGTCTTATGTGTTTAAATCGTGACTGGACTCTGGAACAACAAATATTATAGTAGTAGTTTATATAAATAACATCCTGGCTTGAAACCTTTTGGTGATATCTTTCTCACTCCATCCCTCACCCCCACCATTTCCAGATTGGCAAGCAGGAAAACATTATAACACATAAGTAAATTATAACTTTAATCACTAAACATTACTTTCCAAAGGCCTGCATGCTTATTTATTAAGCCCTTCATTCCCTCCATCCCTTCATTCATCCCTCCCTCCATTCCTCCTTCCTTCATTTTTTCGTTTCTTCCTAATAGTATTCATTGTGTCCTTTTGTCAGTGGTTTCCAGTGCTGCCTCATGACTTATAGGACTTGAAATTCACCACCATCATGGTTATGGTTTATTGCAGTAAAAGTATATACAGCAATATCAGTAGAGTCCAGAGGATACCAACTATAAGTTATTACTGGTATTTTCACAACAGAATTGTATATTTCTAGCAAGAAATTGTGATGACCTGTGAAGTTGTCTACTGGGAAACACGGTTGGGTTTAAGCTAGTATCCATTGTACTTATTGGAGATTGTCGTGTAGGCAGTACTACTACTGTGACTGAGATCCCACATACTCTAGATTCCTAGAAAGAAAGCACGTCTTCACTAGAAATGACATTAATTAGAGCTTTCTTGAGAAATTGCTGTAGTTTGCTTCAAGGCCATGAGCGTGAAAAGCTGTTACAATAGTTGCAACATTTCATAGTCTTGATTCTCAGGAGTTGGCTAAGGCTGAGCCATAAAGCAAGCCAGGTTGGTAATGTGTATGACTTGAGTAGCTCAGTCCTGCATAGTTAACTTTCTCCTGTAAATCCTTCTTTTCATGAGAAAATACTCCTCAATGGTTTTATTGGTGTCATTATATACTTTTTTTTTTTTTTTAATAATTAGCTATTGTTTACTTTTCACTATTTCTCAGGCTTTTTTGTCTGGACTTGAAAATGAAATATACTCTAGCATTTTTCATGGTAGGAATAATGAGTTTCACCAGTAAACCCTGACATCTTTTTGCACTCACAGCTCCTCCTGTTTCCGTTTCAGAGTCGATGAGAAATGTTGAAAGCAAAGCATTGATTCCAGTTCAGAGTGGTTTTGAGGAAGAACAATCCAATGAAATCACACTAGAAAGATACATATGGGATGATACTTGCCTCTCCAAGCTAGGAGTTTTGGGATGTGAAAACCAATTAGAAATGTATCACATGAACCGGAGTACAGGTATGAGGCAAATGGTTTTCATGCAAAAACAAGTACTTTCTCAACGAGGTTCTGAATTCTGTGAAGTTGGTACAGCGTACAGCCAAAGCTTAAACTTGATTCCATCTCAGAGAGTTTCTCAATTAGAACATTTCTATAAACCTGATTCACATCTTGAAAGTTGGAGCTGTAATTCAGCTATAATGTATGCAGATAAGGTTACTTGTGAAAATAATGATTATGACAAAACCTTCTGCCAGGCTATTCAGCCTGTTTATCCTGCAAAAATGCAAACTGGAGATAACCTGTTCAAATGTACTGATGCTGTGAAGTCTTTCAATCATAGTATACATTTTGGTGACCATAAAGCAGTGCATACAGGAGAAAAACTCTATGAATATAAGGAATGCCATCAAATCTTTAACCAGGGACCATCACTCAATGAACACCCAAGACTTCAAATTGGAGGAAACCAGTATGACTATAAAGAATATGAGAATATCTTTTATTTCTCATCTTTTATGGAACATCAAAAAGTCAGTACTGTAGAAAAAGCATGTAAATACAATGAATGGGAGAAAATCTTTGGGTATGACTCATTACTTGCTCAACATACAAGCACATATACTACAGAGAAACCCTATGAATATAACAAATGTGGAGCATCTTTTATCTGGAGCTCTTACCTTATTCAGAATAAGAAAACTCATACTGGAGAGAAACCCTATGAATGTGATAAATGTGGAAAAGTTTTTAGGAATCGTTCAGCCCTTACTAAACATGAACGGACTCACGCTGGAATAAAACCCTATGAATGTAACAAATGTGGGAAAGCCTTCAGTTGGAATTCTCATCTTATTGTACACACAAGAATCCACACAGGAGAAAAACCTTATGTATGTAATGAATGTGGGAAGTCTTTCAACTGGAACTCTCATCTTATTGGACATCAGAGAACTCATACTGGAGAGAAACCTTTTGAGTGTACTGAATGTGGAAAATCTTTTAGCTGGAGTTCCCATCTTATTGCCCACATGCGAATGCATACTGGAGAGAAACCCTTTAAATGTGATGAATGTGAAAAAGCTTTTAGGGATTATTCAGCTCTTAGTAAACATGAAAGAACTCACTCTGGAGCAAAACCATATAAATGTACTGAGTGTGGAAAGTCCTTCAGTTGGAGTTCCCATCTCATTGCTCACCAGAGAACTCACACAGGAGAGAAACCTTATAATTGTCAAGAATGTGGCAAAGCTTTCAGAGAACGCTCAGCCCTTACTAAACATGAAATTATTCATTCTGGGATTAAGCCCTATGAATGTAATAAATGTGGAAAATCCTGTAGCCAGATGGCTCATCTTGTTAGGCACCAAAGGACTCATACTGGAGAAAAACCCTATGAATGTAATAAATGTGGAAAATCCTTCAGTCAGAGCTGTCACCTTGTTGCTCATCGGAGAATTCACACTGGAGAGAAACCCTATAAATGTAATCAATGTGAAAGATCCTTTAATTGTAGCTCTCACCTTATTGCACACCGGAGAACTCATACTGGAGAGAAACCATACAGGTGTAATGAGTGTGGGAAGGCATTTAATGAGAGTTCTTCCCTTATTGTACACTTGAGAAACCACACTGGAGAGAAACCCTACAAATGTAAACATTGTGAAAAAGCTTTTTGTAAGAATTCGTCCCTGATTATCCATCAGAGAATGCATAGTGGGGAGAAACGCTTTATATGCAGTCAGTGTGGAAGAGCCTTTAGTGGTCACTCGGCTTTACTTCAACATCAGAGAAATCATAGTGAAGAGAAACTGTAACTGAATTGGCCACAGACTTTTTTTTTATTGTATGTTTGATAACACATTGAGGGGGGGACCCTATAAATATAACCAAGAGGGATGTTTTTCACTAAGAATTTAGTAAGACTATATATACAACAAGAACTATTATACAACAAGAACTCTTTTTGTTGTTGTTGTTTTTAGAAGAAACCTAAGTGACATGAATGAAAAAACAAGGGGAAGCCTTTGGGCTGTTATATAGCCTGCATTCAGTGTTAGGAAATTATAGAAAGAAGCTCTAAGCTTCTCACTTGGTATACAAAGAATCCATGTTTGAGGAACATGATTGAATGAATAAGGTATTCTAGCAAGAGCTCTTATTTGTAGACAAAATGTAGAAATTTGTGCATTGTTCAGAGGGAAGTCTTGTGCCAAGAATAGTGTTTTGACTGGAAAGTTACTACTTGGAATATTAGATGGAAAGTTTCATGTTAACATTTTGTGTGTAATCATAGAAACAGATTTTGCTATTACATTGAGGGTCTAGGAGCTTTTTAAGAGAATATGGAATAGTAAATCTGAATTTAAGAAAAAACTAGCGTAGTATTGAGTAGGATATTTACTGTTGATCAAGGATAATCTCTTTAGAAAAAATTCGTAAAGGAGATCAGTAATTATAGAAAATTGAAAGGCTCTTTCCTCGAAATATGAGACTGAGTTTTGAAACAGAAAATGGTACTTAATAATGTAGTATCAGTGTCCATTGCTACTTACCACTGAATTATTGGGCAGTTTGTTTATAACTTTTTAGGCAATCACTATAAATTGTAATTGTGGAGAGTCTGGCAGAATACATAGCAGAAGTAACAAGAAGAAGGACACAGTTGTATATAAACATCTACTGTAACCTTTAAAGAAGTATGTTTGGATAAAGACTTCTTAGATCCATGGAGAAACTAACCCATTTAATTTAAGTTTATTATTATTATTATTTTAATATTTGTTTTACAAATACAAAAGCACTTATCATGTTCTAGGCTTCATTTGAAATGTTTTTTTTTTAATTTCCTTAACTCTATGAAGTAAGCTACCCTAGTTTTACAACCCCCATTTTATAAATGGATAAACAGAAGCAGAGATATTGAGTAACTTACCCAAGTGACACATGTAGTAAGATATGCAGTTGAGATTATTTGGCTCCAGAGTTTGTGTTTTTAACCACTGAGTTTTCTTTCTTTTGTTCAGTGTTTTTATAGTAAATATTTGATAATAAAATTCAAGAAAATTCTAACTAATGTAAAAAAGTTATTTGGTTTCTGTTTCCTGATGAAATTTTGCTAACATGTAAACCAAGAGCTCTTTGGAAAATGAACAACTCTGATTAGGACATGGAAACCACTTTTCTGAGTCCTGGGTTCCATAGAAGTCCACTGCTCACAGCTTTGAGGGTTATAGAAAGCAAGGCAGTACAAACTTGAGCAAGTGTAAGGACTGTCCCATGTGGGTTCAGAAATGCCCCTGATAAAGCAGAGGCAAAGGTTCTTTGACATGTTGGAAATTAGTACCCTCTGAATTCATTGTTAGCCTTCTTCTTATCTTCTTTACATAAAAGGATTGCTTGCTAGGAGGGAGGATTTGGGGAGAGAGTACTGCCAGAGTTCATCACCTGCATTGGGGAAGTTTTTTTTTTTTTTTTTTTTTTTTAGGAGAAATGTGCAAAAGGAATGTAAGGACTCAGGCAAGGGTCATTTGTAGATATTGGGTAGAAATTTGGGATACATAAAGTCCATCTAGCTCTCTAGGATTCAGGACTCCCCCATCGTGAGAAGTGGTATCATACTAGTATTAAGATGTGGTGTTCACTTCTGACTCTTACAGCTTCATGCAACTTGGGATGTAACATTTAGTGCCTTTGCAGGGTCTGACAGTCACTTAATAAATGTTATAGGAGAACTTGATGGCTTTTTATTGTGATTTTTGTAAAGACTCTTGGATAAAATACTAGTATGGCCTCTGTAAGAGAGTAAAAAACTATATTTAGAATCATATTGCCAAAATGATGTGGACCTTGCATTTTACCCCAGAAAAGCCCCATTGCTTAGATTTATAGACTCCTGAGGAATTCCATACATTGTGTGCAGTATTCCATACTCTGGTATCTTATTTTATAACCTTATTAACAAGCAATAGTATCTCTTAAAAATGTTTCTAAAAAGGCTTTCATGGAGTCAGAAGAAAGTTCCAGGGCCAAGAGTGTAGAGCAGGACAGAAGGCATGCTTAGCTTGTGCAGTGCAAGGCCTAAATTTTAATCTTAAAATTCTCAGGCTACTGTCTTACCTCCTTGAAGGATTCCCTACCACCTCTGCCTTACATGGCAGCATACTGCTAAGACTGTTGGTAGTATGCTCTGCACTGCCAGGATCCCTTTTATTATTCTGATTCCAGTGTATATATGGTTCGATCATTGCCCCTTTGACCCCGTTTTCTACTCATTCCAACGTAAACCTTCCTAGTCCACTTCCATTATGTGAATTGCTGCTTGTTTTCTACCTGTAGATTTCAACTGTGACTGTTGTGTCCTCTCCAAGGAGACAGTGTTCTTTTCCTTTCAACTTTCTCCCTTCTAAACTGTTGCTGTCTGTCCCTTTTCTCTAAAACACAGGTTTTACACAGGATACCCATTGTTTTAGCTATAGTCCCACATTTTGGGCTCATCTACAAATTTCAATGTGTTCTTTTTCTGACTCTGCATCTGAAACTCTCACAATTATTTCTGATTCTAACACACTTTGATACATGTTGTGTCCTGACATTGAAAGTCCTGGGGCTGCCACTGACGTTTATGCTTGTATCCCCCACAACCCTTTCCTTGTCCCAAGAAACTCTTTACTAGCTGTTGAAGCATCCTTTCCTGTTCTATTGACTGTTTAGTTTTCCACTGCTGTGACAAAATACCCAAGGAAAAGGAAGAAATATGGCTGATGGTTTTAGTCCATGGTCACTTGAGACTCAAGGTGTCATTTGACAAAAAGCTGAACATTTGACTCTTATTGGATGCTAAGCAAAAATGTGGTGAGCCTAAGGAGAAGAAAGAGAAAGTTAGGGACAGAATGAAATGAAAGTCCTTGAAGCAAAAGAGAATGATTAACAAATGGGCTGGGAGGGTTGAGTTTTGTCCCATGCTTTGGGAACGTGACACTTTTTGGACACAGCTCACACTGGGGATGATTTCTTGTGGAGTTTCAGTCTCCCAGCCTCACCTTTGCATCCTTCGCTACTGTACTCCATTGGTGACTGCTTTCCCTCCAGTTACTCTAGCTAGACTGAGAAGTATTTTTACCAGAAATGCTTCACAAGGAAGATGTAATTCTTTCTCACTGTGGAGGGACAGATAAGTTTTGTTGCTCTCATCCACTCAGCTGAGCCAGATCACCTACTAGGTGTAGACATTGTGAGACATGGAATATAGTTGTCATTAAACATCACTCTTACCATTTAAAACTTGGTGAAGGTAATATTCAGTGTAAAAAAAAAAGTTGACTGATGGGCTAATAGTGGGATGACTCTACAGGTAAAGGTGCTTGCCACTGAGCTTGATGACTTAAGTTCAGTATCTGGGATCAGTATGATGGAAGAAGAGAGTTGACTTGCACAAATTGTCTTCTGACCTCTAAATATGTGCAGATTCATACAAATTAAAAAAAAGTGATGAATTCTCTGAAGGGAAATAAGATGAGCAGTGTAGATTAATGATACAGCACTAGGGACAGGAAAGAAGAGCTCATATGGAGAAAGATGAGATTCTGTAGGATGGCTGGGTAGGGTAGGAGGGAGGGGTTGTCAGAACTGGTGAAGTAGTAGCTTACTACAATGACATTATTAATAGGGGCAGAGATTTAAAAAAGGGAGTGTTTCATGTCTGAGATTAAGAATCATGTGAAAGCAATGATAATAACTTTGAGGTTGATCCCTTAACAGGCTTAACTTGTCCTCAAAACAAAGGGGCTCTGAAGAGAACGCTTAAGCCTCAATATATAAAGATGTGTTCCTCATCATCCAATGATGAATGTCCCACAACAGTTGATGATTGTAAATTTCTTCAAGATGGTTATAGACAGTAAACCAACTGTAGAGAGCAATGACTCAAAGTTGCATCATGGACAAACTGCAAAGATCCACAGCAATCAAACCACTCTTGAAACAGACAATGGAAAAAAGACACATGAAAAGTGACAATGATTTGACTAACAGTTAACTCCGGGAGAAAGGATGGTGGTCAGAGGCAAGGAATCATGTTTAAAAGTCCTGAAAGTAGCTAAACCTGGTATCACAGGCCTGTAATCTCAGCCATTTGGGTTCCCAAGTCAGGAGGATTACAAGTTTCAGGATGAGATATGCTATTGAGTTAGTTCACTGGCAGTGTGACAGTAAAACTGTCTCAAGAAATCCAAGAAGGGAGACATACAGAGATGACTCAATCTGTAAAGTGCTTGCTTGCTGCACAAGCATGAAGATGTGAGTTCTGATACCAGAACCTATGTGAAAATCCGGGTGCAACAATTTGTGGATGTAATCCAGGAACTTGGAATGGAGATAGGAGGTTCCCCATGGTCTGCTGGCCAGCCAGTGTACTCAAATTTGTGATTTCTAGGTTCAGTGAGAGACCCTTGTATTATGTAATAAGATGGAGGCTGAAGGGGATACTGTAGTTACTCCCCAGGCCTGCTGCCTTGTTGCAATGTACTCAACAAACTTTTTTTTCTATTAAAACCAAAGTTGTGAGTATGTGCATTACATTTGTGTCAGAAGGTTCCATATACTCTGGTACTCAGGATCTGGAATTATGGGTGGTTGTAAGCCACCACAAGGAAGCTGGGCACTAAACCTCAGGAAGAACAGAAAATGTTCTTAATTTCTGAGCCATCACTACAGTCTCAACTGATCATTCTTTAGTCATTGGGAATGTCCGTAAGAGTTTTCAGATATGGTATAATTCTAGTCTTCCAGAAGGTTGCGGCAGGATAATCTCAAATAGAAAATTCTGCCTTGAAAAGAATATCTTTTTGGAAATGAAGATGAAATATCCAGGTGAACCACCATGAATATGGCACCAAAAGAAACTGACAAGACATGAAAATGCAGGAGGCAGTGAAGGGCGAATATACTTTCACTCTGAGTGACCTGACACTTGGTGGGGCTGCTCCTTTCTACTTCTCATTTGGACCTCAGCTCCTCAGTTATTTACCAAACCTCTCTGATATTTCTGCCAGTTCCCATTCACCTCATTGCCATGCTTAAAAATTGCTTCATAGCAGAAGCCACCATATAACATACCCTTTATTTTTGGTTCTTTATTGTTGATTCTCTTCCCCAATACCATGCCAGGGTGTGAACTTTGTAGTTGGGACCTTGTTAGCCATACACCCCTTTGGCCTGCATAATAGCTATCACGATGTATTTGATGACATACCATAGCATAAGTATATATTTTTTCTTTTGTGGTTCTAGATCAACCCCAGGACCTCTATATTGGCAAATGTTCTACTACTGAGCTTCAGCCCCTATTTGCACTGAGTTCTTGACTAGGCTTGTGCAGCCTGAACTCATTACATCAAGACCCATGAGTTCTCCCCTTCTGCTCCTGTTATTGCCTTGAGGTCCTGCCCTGACTTCCCTTGTAAGTGCTTATTGCTGAAGACACTGCACACTTAGAACACAAGACCTGAAGGATTCAAGCTGTATCTAACCCAAAAGCTGTCTTTCCTGATGTCTAGTCTTCCATAGTTTTAGAAAGTATTACGCAGGCTGCAAGGGAGGGAGACTATAGTCCTGACTGGCTGTGACACCTATGAACCATAACAGTGATTAACATGGCAACATATCCATTAAGGTGTAATAGAGGCACTTACATGTTGGTAGCAACCAACTGATGTTTAATTGAACTTAAGGCCCACTCAAGAGCAAGGAAAACATGTCAGGTACTAGACTCTTAACCTGTGGCCAGTGTGGCTAGTGAGTAGATATACTACTGCCATTTTGCTAGGTCAGCATAATTCCTAACTACATTCTAAATATTAACCTTACACTCACAGATAATTGTACTTGTAACTTCTCATCAAAGAAGATTTTTTTTTTTTTAACAGCAAAAAGAGACCATGACAGAAAATCACAGCTGGACACACTGCAGAGATCAACAGATGGTTGGGTATTCTAGCCCTAATGGATGCATCTACATCACAATCCCTGTATCTGTTGTTCAGGAAACATCACAGAAATGGAAGCAGAGAACTTGTAAGAGGCAGAATACCAGGGATTTTGCTGTGAGGCCATCTCTCTTAGAAATGGCTCAATAAACAAGACCTGAAAAATGGCAATATCAATAGACATGCCAGCATAGAAGAGAGAAAATGTCACACGATCCTATCCAGATATAAAAAACTATAGGTAATTGATGACTGTTGCAAGAAGGAGAACTAACCAGAGATAACTCAGACCTGGCTGGGATCAGTGAGAAAATAAAGAAAAAACAGACAGATATAGGGACACACAGAAAAGCTGGAATTAGGTGGTCTGGGTTCTTCCCTGGAGAAATAGCAGCACCCTGGGAGCTAACTGTGCTTGTGTAGCATTGGACTGAGAGGTGGAGTTATTGCATACAGCTGAGGTATGGGAGGCAGGGCTAACATATGCAGGTAAGGTGGCAGGGTTATATTACACGTATGGATCAAGGTGACAGATATATCTGATTTTGGTCGGAGTAATCTCTGTGGGGGAACAATCTTCAGATTACAAATATCAGGGCTAAGAAGCTTTGGTGGACATTTTCTGCATACACTGTCAATATCCAGACATTGACCAGAGGAAGGTTTTGCTGTGTCCCTGAGTCTCACCTGCCTGTGTTTGTGTGTTGGTGGTCTTGCCTGTTTGTCAATAGGTCTGAAGTTCTGAGGTCCTTGAAACAGCCATGCTATGTCTACATCATACATTTATTCAGGACTTCAGTAACTCAGGGCTTTCTCCTCTCCCTACAGTTATCTAATATGATGGGGTCAGCTCTGCAGTATGACACAAAAATAGACTCAGCAGGTTGTGCCTGTATATCTATCTATCTATCTATCTATCTATCTATCTATCTATCTATCTATCTCTACCCTCTGTATATTTATCTCTATCTATCATCAGCATCTGTCTACCTATCATCTATCTAATCATCATTATCATCTATATGTATGTCAACATATCTGTACATAAATATATAACAATAATAAGAAATGAGGTTATCAATTTGAGGTGGAAGAACATGGGAAGAGCTGGAGGGAAGAAAGGAAAGAGGGAAATGATGTAATTTTATTTTAGTCTAAAAATGGATTAAAATCATTTTACAGCCTGATCCCAGCCCCTCCCTCTTCTCCCAGTCCCACCCTCACACCCCTTCCTCTATTTCCCCTTAAATAAATGAAAAAACCTTTTTTTGAACTATATAATTTAAAATAAAAGTACAAAAAACTTCAGAAATCATAGAAATGAATTAATAAGTTTGAAACAAAATATATTAAAATAGGTTTAAAAAGGTTGGCAGAATAATTATGATAAAGGTATATTATATATTTGTGTGTTTATGTATGTTTTATATGTAATATATATATATTTAAAAATAAGAAATTGTGAAAGAATTAAAATAAGATTTAGAATCCAGAGAAAGAAAAACAAAACAAACTGATCATGGACTGCATTGTAATGCTTCTGCTTTCTGTGAAGCCTTCTTGGTTTTATTGTTGTGATTTTTTGGGGGACAAGTTTTCATGTAACCCAGGCTGGCCTTGAACTCTCTAACTTGTTATATAGCTAAAGATGACCTCAAACTGCTCTACCCACTAAGTGCTGGGATTACACATGTGTGTCATTGCAGTTAGCTTCTGTCACTTTCTTCTGATGTATCAAGATTCCTGAATCAAGATTCCTGCCTGCCTTCTGCCTAATCTGCCTTTTCCCTAAAGGCTGGAACTGGTCTCATTCTTGTCTGTCTCATGCTAGGACACGTTACTTATTTCAGTCTCCTTGACTGCCCTAGTTCTGAGAAGGAATTTCAGGGCAGTAGGGTAAACTGACCTCACACTGTGGGCTCTAAATCAGAACCCAAACATTCCACTGCTCCAGATGCTGGGCAGTCAGATCAGTATTTCTTTTGTTTGAAAAAGAACTTATAATTTTAGAGTGATGGACAAGGTTCAGAGCTTTTCTATGTTTTTATTTTGGTTTTTATTGGAATACCTACTTCCTGTCTGTTTGCCTTATGCAGCTGAGTTAACAAGCTCACCAGGTAGCTTCAGCATGGCCTTTCTTATTTGAGGGGGAATAAAGACTTTTGTCCAGGGAAGTAAAAAGAAGTTAATTACATTTCACTTCTACAAGTTTTCTTTTCAAGGAAGCACACAGTTACAAACACCAAAAGCTCCTATGGAACAACCCAGAAACAACCTTGCAATACCTGGACCAGAACACTCAGGACTTCCAAGTAAGTCATTGCTTAGCTTGTGAGGTGAGGATCAGACCCAGATGTGTGGTGGCGGTGGTTGTGTGTGTTGTATATGTGGTATATTGTTTGTGTGTGGTGTGTATGTGTGTGTGTGTGTGTGTGTGTGTGTGTGTGTGTGTATATATATATACATATATATATATATATATAGTATGCATATGTGGTGTAGTGTGTGCAGTGTGTGTGTGTGTGGTATGTTGTGTGTGGGTGGTACATATGTGGTGTATTTTGTGTGTGGTATACGTGTGTATGTGTGATGTTTGTATGTGTGGTATATATGTGAATGTGTTTGGTATATGTGTGTGGTGTGTATGTATGTGTTTGTGGTGTGTGTGTTATATATGTGTGTGCTTGTGTGCATGTGGTGAATATATGGTATGTGTGTTGTGTGTATGTGGAAATATGTCTTGAGTATTTATTAGTAGTGAAGTTCATAGATGAGTTAGACAAACATTTGATAGGAACTTATTCTGTGGGATCCATAGACATTCCCAAGGCTAATACTATGTGGGGCCCTGGAGGGTCCCAGCATGTGTACCATCATGGTCTAGACAGCACCTTAATGCACATTAGATAAAGCTACTCCCTTTGAATAGCTGGGTTTGTGATGGTGACCTAGGTCCTCACTTAGGGGTTAGCAGAGAGGTTGTATGCCACAGAGCACAGGCTGAGTTAGAGCTCCACCTTTTTTCTTGGGTGAGGCAGAATATGAAACCAGGCCATGCACTCCTGGTTCTGACTTTCCAGAAACTTCTTTACTTTTGGCTTTTCTGCTTGGAGCTTTCCCCAAACTGCTTGTTGCAGAGTCCTCTTTAAACACAAGGCTACCTTTCTGCCTTGCTGTTCTTCCCATGTTAGATGTTCCTTCTGGGTCTTTTCACATCTGCTAAACAACTGTCAGGAGTAGATTCCTCCCTTAGCATTCTTGTTTTATATTTTTTAATGTATAATTCTCAGTTTTTGAGAATTTCCTACATGAGTACTGTATTTACATTATTTCCCTCCTCCTCCTCCTCTCTAATTCTTCCCACATCTCGCTAGCACTCCGTATAAAATTCACTTCTTTTTAAATTATTGTTCACATACATACACACACGCACACACCCTACTGAGTCCATTAGTACACATATGCACATTCATCTAAGGTTGACCACTTGGGATTGGATAGCCAATAAAAAGGGGGTTGGTCCTTGGAGAACTCAGATTCTGCCTATCTTCACAGCCATTGAATGCCTGCAGTTCTTCAGGATTATGGGCTGGGACTTATGAAATTTCTCTATTCCAGGTTGGTATGTCAACTGACATTGTCATTTTGCAAGATTTGTTTAGGTGACCATATTGTTGAGACTTTGTGGATATAGCTTCCCTCTCATGTCTAGAAGATGCCATATCCTAGCAACATCTTGGTTTTTTGGCTCTTTCTATTTTTCTGCTTCATCTTCTCAGATGTTCTCTGAGTCTTATATGTAGTTGTTGCATTGTATATATACCAGTTCATATTGGATGCCCCATAGTCACTTAATCTTTGTATTTTGACTTGTTGTAGATCTCTGTAATAGTCCTCATCTGCTTCAGAAAGAAGCTTTCATAGATGAGGAATGAGATATATACTTGGACTCAGCTCTCTTATTTTACAATGTGCCTGGGATTTGGTTGAATGAGGTATGTGGGGGGATACAGATATGGAAATGAAACAATGAAAAAAAACACAATGCTCATCACAAAGAGCATAACATAGCTTATTCTATAGCCAAATATGAGTATCTGTATCCTGAGAACAGAGATTCAGGTTACCTCAAATTTCATGGTCCAGCGTGGTAACAGTCTAATGAACTTTTTACAGTCATAGAACAAAGATAATCAGGACACTTTTCAAATACATTGATGGAAATATCAGTAGATGGATAAATCTCAGCTACAGTCTTCAGATGTTATCTGATGGCATCCTTTGCATTTTGGTTCATGGAAACTAAGGATATGTCTGTTTGTATATTTCAAAGATCTACCTAATGGTAAAAAAGATGTCAGTTCACACCAGAGGAGGGCAATAAATACCTATTGAAAGGGTAAAGATGATCTAAGATAATTTGACTCTGGACTTGCAGCATTCCAACTTCTCTACACCATGAAAGTTATCAGTCAATAGGCCTTTGTCATTATGGCTTCTTTCCTGGGATTCTTGTTTCGATTGATGAAGAAAGAAAATGTTATACTCACAAGCAGCAAATGAGAAGAGACACTTAGTGAAGTATGGCATACAGACAGGGAGAGGTAGTGAGGGTGTGGGAGCCTTTGTTTTTATTTTCACAAATAAAGCTAAGGCAAGGTAAGAGGCCTTACTGTTGAGTAGTTTGAATAATTTCAGTTGGCTCAAGGGTTGTTCCTAGTTGTGCTCTGGAGTGATGAGGGTAGCTGAAAAGCAGTCTGCAATCCAAGTGCTTGCAAAGGAGGTCACTAAAGGTGGGTGTTTGCTCACTGAATTTGGGTTGGCTCATTTGCACGTGAAAGATGAACTCTGCTATGTTTAGGAGTTAACTGTCCTGGTCTGGTAGTATATACAGAGTCATGAAGGCCCTCAGATATCAAAGTATCAAAATATAGAAAATAATAAAAGTGTATTGATCAGTCTAAAACATACCATTAATCTAAAATCATAGCTATGATTAGGTCATTTGCTTGTCCATATCACCACCAAAGCATGAAGCTTGGTTAGGGTCAGCCTGTGAGAAAGCTTGTGTTCTCATCTGTACTTTTATACTATCCCGTTTCTTCAGTTAGTGCTACTGGTTTGCCGAGCCATGAGGTTTAACTCTCAGCTGTAGGTTCCATAGCTAGAGGAAGGAAGTAGTTGTCTAATGGAATTGCTTGGAGTCATCATTGTTCTCCTGGAACTCTTGGCTGATGTTTATATGGGAAGAAGTGTGACTCATTCATAATAAGAGAAACGTGTTGAAACATCATAGTGATTGCATTTTTCATCTGTGAGGTTGAAAGTGGGCAGGATGTTTCAGAACTGTACTTGTGTGCTCCTGAGATTTGGGCCTCAGGTGATGAACCACTAAGCTATGTCCTCAGCCCTATTGTTACTATTTTAAGATAGTGCCAGTGAGTTGGGGTACAGATGGAGACATTGTCCTCCGATCTCCCTCTGGTGTTCTCCTAGAATTTTAGGGACTCTGAGTTCACATCAATATGTATACTTTGGTGCTGTGAACATTTCAGGAATAGCCAGGTTATGAAAAAGTTGAGATTTTATTAAGGGTATTTTAATATAGATTCAGAAAGAGATATAGAAAGAGATGAGCTCAGGGGAAAGTAAGACATTCCCAAGTGTTGGTAAAGGTTCCTCAAGGAAGAGTTGCTGCTCACTGATTTTTACAATAGTCAGATGTAGGGTTTTGGTAGCATTGGGAATGACTCTGTAATCACTGGGGGATCCCGAGGGAGGCCTGACAGATTGAACTTGAGGTCACTGGATCCATTATTTGTTCCACTTCCTAATGCATCCATTTGAATCTCTCTCTGCTTTTCATCATGGCTTGTCTCTTTATCATACATTTTCATGGCATATTGGATGGTCAAGAATAACTTCTTGGGAGCTGAGGTGGAGCTTCTGCCCTACAGCCTGGTTACAAAACCACCTGTTTCTCATTCCCTATTTGTAGCAAACTCCACCTAAGATTTTCTAAACTCATCATCTCAAGCTCTTTCCTCCTGTTTCTTTCAAACCTGTAGTCAATGCCTTCCAGACTGCTAATGTGTCTTTACCCATGCCTCTCAGGCCTTCCCACATGCCCAGGCTAGTAGCTAGTTTTCAGCTTTTATTAACACTAGACTATCGGTAGCCCATGTTCTTTTCTCCCCGTCAGTGTTTCATTGTAAATGGTTGAAGGCATACCGAAAGTTTGGGAGGCCTGTAGAGTGGATCCCACATGCCAAATATACGTAGTTAGCATTATCTTTATACTCATCTTGTCATAGGTTTATGCTGAGATCTGAACATCAGGGCATTCTTCAGTTCTCTCAGAAAAACCCTCCTTTCTGTGCCAGTGGAGCAACAGGAAATGAGAAAAGACCAAGTGTAGTCGCAAAGGCTCGAAGGGTAGTAACTACCTCAAGTGGTCAGGATTTATAGGTGGCTGTCCATTATACATACTTTACCAATTGCTTTTGTTTAATCTGTACAAAATAATTACTTTTTATTTTTAAATTTCAGGCACAACACAGAAAAAGGATACGCTTGATCCTACAGAGACCACTCATGTATTCATAGCACATTTTGCAGCCCCCAGTTACAACTCTTGGAGTTCAGGTATCTGGGATTACACTATGAATTGTCCTGTAGTTTTCTTTTATTATAGCAGCTTACAACTTGAGACCATTAAAGCAACATTGTGATCATAAGCCAAGGTGACACATGGTAGGTGGCAGATGACAGGAATTAGTAGCAATGGTTAGTACATCTATGTGCAAGAAGTCAGTTTATTTACAGATTATAGGTTGCTATGGGTCAGTAAGTCTGAAGATGATAGGTGTGGCTATAGTGACTAGTACATTCATAGTGTAAGAATGAGGGCTTATCAGTTCATGTCAGAGGCAGTCCCTGTTCCCATTATTATGGAACCCACTAGGAGACTGAACTGTCAATGGGCTACATATGTGCAGGGGTTCTGTGTTATCCCCATACATCCTACTTGGTTGGGGTATCAGTCTCAGGGAAGACCCCTGTGCTCAGATTTTTTGGTTCTGTTGCTGTCCTTGTGGGGCTTCAATCCTCTCCAGATCTTATTATTTCCCACTTCTTTCATAAGATTCCCTGCAATCTGCCCAAAGGTTGGCCATAAGTCTCAACATCTGCTTTGATAGTCTGCAGGGCAGAGCCTTTCAGAGGCTCTCTGTGGCAGGCTCCTGACTTGTTCCCTGTTTCTCCTTCTTCTGAAGTCCATCCTTTTTTATCACCTCCCCCTGAGGGGGGAGCGGCTTTACTAGGCCACAGAGAAAGACAATGCAGCCACTCCTGATGAGACCTAATAGACTAGGATCAGAAGGAAGGAAAAGAAGACCTCCCCTATCAGTGGACTTGGGGAGGGGCATGTGTGGAGAAGAAGAAGGAAGGGAGGAATTGGGAGGGGAGGAGGGAGGGAACTATAGGAGGGGATACAAAATAAAGTGTAAGTAATAATTAAAAAAAGGACAGAACCCAAAACAAAACAACAACAACAACAAAAAGAATGAGGGCTTAGATAGGAGGTGACCAAAAGCAGGAAGTCTGGGGTTTGGGGAAGTAAAAAAAATATTAAAATTATTGCATTATTAATGAAATAAAATATGTCTATGTATCTCTGTTTATGGTACCTGTGGATGAATGGACATCAGAGGACATCTTTCATGACTTGGTCTTAAACTGAGGTTGTTAGGTTTATAGCAAGTGCTTTTACCTGTTGAGCCATTGCTCATATGAACAGCCATTTGTGAACACAAATTGCGCTGTTCAGTTTCACGCTAATATATTCTTTTCAGCCAGGATCTCATTATGTAGCCTGAGGTGGCTTTGAACTCACAGAGATCATTTTGTCTCTGCCTACTTAGTGCTGAAATTACAAGTGTGTGCTAGAATTCCTGGCAGCACTTTTACCCCTTTGAAAATTGATGTTAATTTGAAGATGATTAATAATAATAATACAAAGAAGAAGAAAAAGACAAAGATGAAGAAGAAGGAGAAGAAGAGAAAGAAATAAAAGAAAGAAAAATATGTTCATTCCTTGGCTTCCTTCCCTGTCTTCTCCCTGTTTCTAATATTGAATCCTGGCTAGGTCCAGATAGCAGGGCAGACCTTCAAATGAAGCCAGCATTGAGGTACATTTGCTCAGAATAGGTACGATAGAAAGTATCAGTTTCTTGAAGAGTCCTCTTGTCTTTTTTTCACCATGTATATTAATTTTCTCTTGCTGTGATACAATACCACAAAATCTCTGAGACCTAACGCTCTAAAGGAAGAGTCTATAATGACAGAGGAAACAAGACGGTGACATCCAGAGCAGGAAACAGAGAGCAAGAGAGACTTTGATTGCATATGTAATATAGAGAGCTACCCTTAGAATTTTTAAAAAATTAATTTTAATGAAAAATATATACAATATATTTTTATCATAGTCTTTTTTCTTCCCAACTCCTCCCAGATCCTCTCTAATTCATATTCTTTTTTTTCTAATTGATATTCTTTCTTTTTCCAAAAAACCCAAGTTCTCAAAACTAAAACTGAAAATCAAAACTAACAGCAAAAACAACAGTAAAACGAGATAAGACAAAAAAATTCTCAAGCAAAACAAGAAACACCTAACAACCCAATGGAGTCTGTCTTGTTTGGGCTAGCTTTTCTTGTGTGTGGGGCTTGCTTTGGATCATGGTTTATTTTCACTGTGACACTCTATTGGAGGAAATTTTCCCTCTCCCAGCAGGTATCAATTGCAAATAACTTCTTGGAGAGGGGTGAGACTTTGTTCCTACTTCCTCTTCTGATTTCCTAGGTTTTGTCTGATTTGAACTTGGGCAGGTCTTGTGCAACCTGTCACAACTTCCTATGAGTTCATATGTATATCAACTCTATTGTATCTGGAAGAGTCTTGTTTGCATGGAGTCATTCATCACCTCTGGCTCTTACAATATTTTCTGCTTCTTCTGCATCATCAGAATCACCCAGCTACAATAACTACAATACTACTTCTAACAGTGACCTACCTGCAAAAAAATCTGCTGCAATAATGGCACAAACATTATAGGAGTAACCAGCTAACACAGACAGACAGACCCATATATGTATATATATTGGATTTATGTCCCACTCCATGAGATAGAGCCCATGCCTGACACTGCTAACAAGGTCAAGGACCTGAGCCTTGATAGGTGATGTGCGCTAGAAGAAAACTTACTACTCTTACTACTATTATTTTGTTAAAAGAACAGCAATAAAATGTCATATTGCTATACCCACAGATCAGAGCATCACTCAACCCTCATCAGAGAAGCTGCTTGTAATAGATGAGAATTAACATGGAGACCCACAACTGGACAATGTACAGAGGAGAGTGAGAGACTTTGGAGCACTCAGCCCTAAATGGGTGTCTCTAAATGGGTGTCTTAGTACTTTTCAAAATTAGGGATGCCATTTGTAAAAGTATTGCCAGTTTAGTGTTTGGTTCATTTTTTGTAACAAACTTCTTTCTATTTCTAGCAATAATTCCACGTAGACCTGGTCTTGTTCATGTAATTTCACTCTCGAGTATAGCTTTGCTCATTGCCCTGATATGTGGACTCATGATCTCCTATTCGATATAGTAAGTATACGACAAATAACATCGTCCATTCTTAATAAGGTAGCAAATACACAAGGAAATTATTTTTTGTCAAAAGATGGTGATAATAATAATGGTGATGGTATTTCTTTTAATTATTAAATTAGTATGGTCATTGTACATTTTTCCAAAATGAATGAAAGTTTCAGAAGCTCAGTGTTGGAGTTATAAGTGTATACCAACACTTCTGGCTTATTATGTGGGTCCTTGGTATTTAACTCAGGTCCTCAGGCTCAATCACTTTGCTGACTGACTGATTTCTAGAATTTAGATATTGAGATAAAGCTCTTATTTTTTAAAAAAATATTAAAATTTTTTTGTTCTTTGAAAATTTCATACAACATACTTTGATCACATTGGGTGGAGATTTTTAAAAAAGACAGGGTCATTTTGAAATTATTATGCTAAGGTGGCATCATGCTATTTGGACCAGATTTTCTGGCTCTGATTCAAGCTAGGAGTCTATGACATTTTTCAGAAACAGCCAAAGTACAAATTTCTTTAAAATTTGATGGCAACCTGAGCATGGCAAGTGAATATCTATATCTATATCTATCTATCTATCTATCTATCTATCTATCTATCTATCTATCTATCTATCTATGAAACTTAACTAATAAGAAGGATTTTGTTATTTTTAAAAAAGGGTCTCACAGTTTAGCCCTGCTAACCCAGAACTTAACATTATTCTGCCAGTGCCTTGAGCTGGGAGTATAGTTATACACCAAGATGTGGAATACTGATTGTTTTGGGATATTTGGTTTTATTATGGACTTTTTGTATTCATATCAGCTATTGAAATGTTTAATTAAAGTAGTTATCTTTATTCCTGTGTGTTTTTGAACACTCCTAAAATTTGCTTCTGGTACCAGTGCCTCACTTTTTATGAATCGATATCTTTACTACATTTAATGAATATTTTTTTTCATATCACAGCAGGTATCTAGGACAGAGGTTCACAACTTGTGGGTTGTGATCCCCTTGGGGTCAAATGACCCCTTCACAGAGGTTGCATATCAGATATCTTGCATATCAGATGCTTACATTATGATACAGGAGCAAAATTATAGTTATGAAATATCAGTGAAAATAATCTTATGGTTAGGGGTCATCATAACATAAGAAACTGTATTAAAGGGTCGCAGAATTATGAAGGTTGAGAACCACTGGTCTAGGATATTCATTCCCTCTGCTTTTCCCTCTGTCACTGCTCTTTAAAATATAATTAAGCTAATCATCAAATTATTCTTGATTACCCAAGTCACAGAGAACTAGGTATATAAGTATGTTAGGAAAACCAAAACACATTTCCACATCAAACAAAGAGCTTATTCAGAAATCCACTTTTAGAACTGGACAGACAGTGACAAGAGGCACTACCTCAAGTGTAAATACTAAGGGCATGTTTAAAAATTCACTGATCAGGAAGAATAATATATTTTTTCAAGTGCAGAAACTTTTATTTTTATTAAGTTCTAGTTCATAAACACAGTCAAATATGATTACTTTATAAGATACAGGGAAGGATTCATAGGCACCTGGTCTAGGACAATCCCCTTCCACACACACAACTATGAGAATAAAAGATAACTTTCTAAACTTCCCTTATCGTAGGCAAAGATTTTTAGACACATAAAATAGATGCATCTGTAGGATTAGGGTAACTTGTTACCAAATCTGTCTTCTAAGTTCTCTAATTTCATGGTAATACAAACTTTCTTTTTTTCATAATAATCTTTATTATTTTTAAATATTTTAAATATTAATTACAGTTTATTAGTTTTGTATCCCAGCTGTAGCCCTCTCCTTCATTCCCTCCCAGTCCCACCCCTTCCCTCTTCTCCTCCCTGCCCCTCTCCAAGTCTACTGATAGGGGAGGTCCTCCTCCTCTTCCATCTGACCCTAGCTTATCAGGTCTCATCAGGACTGGCTGCATTGTCCTTCTCTGTGGAAGAATAATATTTCAATGTAGTGTTATAAAATATCAATACCCAAATAACCACAGGTTATGAAATAACAAGAGCTTTCTGAGTGTGAATGCTAATGTGGTTGTATGTGGCTGGAGGTCAAAGTCTACTCTGGGTGTAATTCCTCAGGTGTCATCCACCTTGTTTTTTGAGACAGGATCTTTCTTTCTCTGGGATCTAGATCTCACAAATTAGGTTAGATAGATGACAATGAGCTGCACGAATCTGCCTGTCTCTGCCTTCCCAGATTTCGGTTACAAATGTGAACCATCACACCTGATTTTTCATTTGGGTTTGGGGGTTGAACTCAGGTCCTCAGGCTTGTTTTCTGACCAACCTGTCCACTCAGCCTCAAATAAGAAAGGGGATTAGAGGCTCTGTAATATTCTACATCCATTTAAAATCTTGGCATTTTGTTCATTGAGGCTTTCTTGGCATTAATTTTTTTTGGTATCATATTGCATAGATAATAGGTTTTGTTGTAAACTCATTGAATGTTGTATCTAGCCCATATATGTCATCCATACCTAGTTATTTAGTTTTGAAGTTTGAGGCTATAAGAGTATTTGGTGACATGAATTGGCTGGGCCAACCTTCCATAAATGTATTTTTCTGTCTTTGTTCTCCACCTACCAACATGTATAAGCAATTCCTGTTGAGTCAAAAAATTTTCATGTCCTTGGATGGAGTGATGAATTGGGGGTTAAGGGGGCTGAAGTTCAGTTCCCAGCATACAAGTTGGGTAGCTTACAACAGCTTGTAACCACAGATCCAGGGAATCTTATGTTTTCCTGCCTGGTCACTACAGGCACCTGACTCCCACTCCCATATGTAAAAATACAACTTTAAAAACTGCAGTATAAAGACAGAATGATTGACTATAAAATCTGCCTTTATATTTACCTCTATCCTTCTCCAGTCGACTGGTAAAGGCTGAGGAAAAACAGCAGCTTGCGATGTTGTATGAAAATGTCGAGATTCCACTTTTAGATGAGAAAGAGGCTTCTGAAGATGAAGGTCAGGATGAATCTTCTCTGCTGCATTCCGAGAACGAGGAGCTGGAGAAATTCATTGGCTCAGGTGCTTTGTCTTGTCAGATGCGAGGTTGTGAATGGTGGTTTGGGTTTTCCAAAGAAGATATCAGTGAGATTAGAATCTGAGTTAAGAAAAAAATGGGTGTTCATGAACTGATCTCATCAAGTTCCAGGGATTATCAGTGGGAAGCTGTCTAGTTGCTTGATTCCCAATGTGGGCAATTTCAAGAATATAAGGCAAAGATCAAGAGACAAACTTTGTTTTGAATGAAACTTTTCCTTGAAAGTTTCTTATTTTAATACCAATACTTATTAAAATACTTATTATTGGTATATTATTTCTGCATTTAGAACATCTATAAGCAGACATTTAAGTTGCCTCAGACTGGTGTAGAAATGGGTTCCATCCATACAACAGCGATATTCCTCCCAATGGAAGAACTGTATCTGAGACACAAGAATATGAGAGATGCCTTCATGTATTTTTTATATATAAGCTTGATTTGTAAAAGCTTTCAGGTTCTTACTCATATGTTCTAAAAGAACATGTAAAGTTCTGTGTCTGGTCCAAATACACCGACATCCTCTGCTTAGTTCTTGCTATTGATCTTCATGTTTTTGATCTTGTTCTTTTTCTTCCTGTTCTTGATCTTTTTCTTCTGGTACTTGTTCTTATTCTTGTTTTCCTTCATGTTCTTTTTGTTTTTCTTGTTCATTTTCTTCTAATTCTTGTTTTTGATCTTCTGTTCTTGTTCTGTTATTGTTGCCCCCCCCCCTTTTTTCTTCTTCTCCTCCTCCATGTTTTCTCTGTGTAACCTTGGCTGTCCTAGAACTTGGTCTGTAGATCAGGCTGGCCTCAAACTCAGAGATTGGCCTGCCTCTGCCTCCTGAGTACTGGGATTAAAGGTGTGTGCCACCACTGCCTGGCTATTAAACAATCCTAAATGTGCCCAACATGAAAGAGACAGAGCAGAGTTGATGGTTGATGCCAACTGAAGTTGACAGTCTTCATAATCCATAAGAAATATTTTCCAATTTATTACACGGGATTATTATTGTATATTTGAAAGGCTTGCACATAGAATGCAATAATTTTAAAATTCAAATTTCAACTGAGAGTGGTGTTTCACACTAAGAATCACAGCAATTGAGAAGTGGTAACAGGGAGGATGGTGAATTCAAGGCCAGCCTGGGGTGCATAGCAAGATATTGTTTCAAAAACACAGACAAACAAACAAACACAAACCAAAATAAAATTTAAAAACCTCACTATTTTTATAAGTAACATTTATTTTCTGAAAATGCCTTATTTACTATAAATTTCCTCTGACCCCTTGTCTTTATTTCTACTCTTCACTTACTCCAATCTCAGTAATATGATTTTTATATTTCAGTTATTAGAACAAAAAGACGGGAAAAAATTATGAAGAAGAAAAGGAAGGAAGAGAAAAATCTACTGAAGGAAAGTACATCAGAGAGCTCCAATTATACTGAAAAAGTGGAGAGTCATGACAAAATGGAGAAGTATGAAAAAGCAGAGAATCTGTGAAAACAAAAGAAAGGTGTAGCATGTGCTAGGCAATGTGGAGACCAAATTGCAGAGATAAAAAGACGACTGAGAACATGAACAGAACCTACTTCTAGAGAACCTTGTATAAGAATATTCTAGAGAAAGAAATGTGAGAAGTATATAGCAGAAAATAAATTCATATGATACAGAAACTCTTACTTTTTAGCTGTAATAGTACATGCATAATTATAACTTAAGTGGAATATAAAAAAACAGCCCAAGTTCCTTGATAATGAAAGACAAATTGTCAGGATTTTGTTCTCTCGCTCAAGACCACAAATATATATTTGTCCTTTTGGGGGAGGCCTCCAGACTGTGATAGCAAAATATTTTCATTAAACAAAACTTTCTAAGTAATGTTTCTATCAGATCCATTTTACACACAAAGATACACTGAGGATACCAGAGTAAATATAGGGATAAATTACTAGACAGCCATTTTTGTTGGTTCTTAGTTCTGATAAGGGAACTTGGCCAGCAGGGGAGGAGATATATAGCCAGTTAACATATGCAATAAACTGTGAGTAGCTAAGAGCTGTGGGAAGACAGAAGAGGCAAGCTTCATATAGGTCCAGTCTTTCAACCTTACAGCATAATGTTGTCACATTCAAAGTTCATGCTGGAGACTCAAGAAACAAAACAAAATACCACCCAAAAAATCCTAGTGTTTAAGTACATTGACAATTTTGTGTTGAGACACATTCATTGCCACCCTGAGTTCAATTGCACTCCTAGAAAGATAAGCACTAAGTTATTATATGACCCAGCATGTCTACTCCTAGGTATACATGTCCATAAAAACTTTCCCATGTTTATAACAGCGTTATATGGCCAGGCATGAGGGCATATGCCTGTAGTCTGAGAACCTGGGAAGTAGTCACAATAAAACTATGAATTTGCAGTCAGCTTGTAATATACAGTGAACTGTTGTCTCATTAACTGATAAACAGATGAGCGAACTAATTTATCCATATAGTGGAATATTTCTCAGCAATTAAAGGGGTGAAGTACTGATGTATACTCCACATGTGTGTTCATAATGAAAACATTCTACTGAGTGTAAGAAACCAGAACCTTATCCTGTGGTTTGTTTATATAAAACACTCATAAAAGGCAAAGCCTGAAATAACAGGGAGCTACAGATGATGGGTGGAAAGGCTCTCTGGTTGTAAGTTCTAACCAATCTAGCCAATCAGTGTGAAAATTTGAAGAGTTTCAGAAGAAGCATGGCTTCTCACATGCCCCTAATTTGCTAGTCAATCACTTTACTGTGGTGATTGTTTTCTTTGCTATATACAAATGTAGTTCTTGAAGAGCAGCTGTTCTGTTGTCAAATTGCTTTGGGCCCAGACTATGTCAGTAGACAAAAATATCCAGCTGATAGTTATTCTAATAGAACAAGCTGTGTGCCCTGTTCTTCCTGTGTTGTATTCTATGGCTATATTTTTAAACTCTGGGGTTCATCCATGACATCTTCATAGGCAAATTTTGTTAGGTAAGACCAGCCTGACTCAGAACCTAAATCCCTGATTCTGTATATTGTTCTATGAACTCAGTTCTTGAGTTTGTCAGTCATACATTTTCCAATGAGCTATTCTCTCCTACAAAATTCATCAGGCACTTAATTAGCATTTCCTTTCAGGTTGTTGGCATGGAACAGATGTGGAGGAAACCAGTTTTCATCAGCACCAAAAGCTGTGCATTTGAGAAATCACTTCAGAAGCAATGCAAACAAAGACTCATTGCTGAAAAGCTGAAGAATCCAGGTGTCTGAGACACCATCTTCTAGCAGAGTGGCTGGGGAGCACTTCCTCCTCAACCCAACATTTCTGGCAATAGGCTACTCACACACAGGAGAAGTCCAAAAACACATCTGAGAGTTCACTTTTCCACTGCGAAAGAGTCATTACACCTTGGGATACTATGAAAGCTTTCAGCTCCCAAAAAGTTGTTGTCTTCAGCAAGGAAAGATATTACAAGTGCAATATATATGTAAGAAATACTTCAACACAAGCTGTGGCTCCCATGGTCATTCAAAAGTTCATACTTCAAAAATACCATATGAATAAGGAGAATGCATCACATCTTCTAGTCAAAGGTCGAACCTCATTATCCACAAAAAAGTTCATGTGAGAGTAAGACCTCATCAATGTGGTGAACATGGAAAATTATTTAATAGAAAGAGAATATAAACATCTTTAGAGAGAAAATTCACACTTGTGAAAGGTCTTAGGTTAATATAATGCTCTTGTGGAATGTGTAGTTTACCCTTGTTCATTCAAATGCTGATTTCTCTACCCCACTATCTGGTTTCAATCCAAACATTACATTGTGATGCTTATCCTAAGCATCACCTGTGTCAAGTTTGTATTGTCAATAAAACAACCAGCCACAATGCTAAGCAATGGAGAGACTAGGGTAGGACATCCTGGTTCTGAGGGGAGGAAAAGGAAGCAAGTGGGAACAGAGATCAGCAGGACAGGACTTGGAACCAAAAGGGGAGACAAACTGGACCTAAGATATGACTAAAAGCAAGTATAATGGGTGAAATCTGAATGGTAGGAAAGCATGCAGGCTTGGAGGTTTAGGATGGAGTAACTATTGCCCAGCATTGTGCTCTAGATTAATTAAATAAATACTAGTCTCTCTGTGGTGATATGGTTTAGGAATATCCTAAACAGCTGGTTTAGGAATAACCATTGATTAACTAAAAGATAAATCAATGATAAATATTAATACTCAACAACAAACGGCATACCATTATGTGGCAGAATTTATAGTAATCTAGCAAGAACTTACGTAGAAAGTAAAACTATAGAGCAGTTTTTCAGTTCTGTTCCTTAAAAACAAAGCAACTGTACTTCCTGATCAGACAGACTCGATCAGAAAGGCTCCCTGCAAAGCAGCAAGGCCTCCAGCAGGCTGAAAAAAAAAAAACCCAAAAATTAGATACTAACCCCAGAGAGGCATATTCTTTAGGTAGAGACAAAAAAAAAATGTCTCTTTAACAAGGAAGCTTCTCAGAGCCAGACTTTGCTAGCCAAGACAGAAAGAGAAATACCTTTGATAAGGAGTTCTTGCCAATCTGAGGAGCAAACATTTGTGGACCCAATAACTTCTGAGAGGAAGGGGTCAGGATCCAGTGAGGGAGGCAGAAAAAAAATACCTCTCCCTGGAAGCAGGAGCCAGAGAGAGACAGAAAAGCTTCAAGCATCTGAACTGACAAGGTCTGAGAGGAAAGCTGAGTCTAAGAAAATAAAGTCCTCAAGGAGAGGTTTTGAGATGAAAAAAGATAATTTCCAAAAAATAGAGGCCATCATGGAAAGACAGGAATCCACATTCAAACAGATGAGGGAAATGGTGCAAGACATGAAAACAGAACTAGAATCAATAAAGAAAACACAAATAGAGAAAACCCTGGAGCTGGTGAAGTTAGGGAAAAGATCAGGAAACAAAATTAGGCATCACCAACAGAATACAAGAGATGGAAGAGAGAATCTCAGGTGCTGAAGATACACTTACAGAAATTGATACATCCCTCAAAGAAAAAGTAAAATCAGAAAAGTTCCAAATGCAAAACATCCAAGAAATCAAGGATGCCATAAAAAGACAAAATCTAAGAATAAAAGGAATAGATGAAAAAGAAGATTCCAGGCTCCAAGGTCCAGAAAATATTTTTCAAGAAAATCATAGAAAAAAAATTTCCCAACTTAAAGAAATATCTATCCATTAACATACAAGAGGCCTACAGAATACCAAATAGACTAGACCAGAAAAGAAACTCCTCACATCACATAATAGTCAAAACATGAAATTTACAGAACAAACAAACAAAAAATATTAAAAGCAGCAAGGGAAAAAGGTCAAGTAACATATAAAGGCAGACCTATCAGAATCACACCTGACTTCTCAACAGAAACTATGAAAGCCAGAAGGGCCTGGGCAGATGTCATGCAGACTCTAAGAGACCACAGATACCCACACAGACTACTATACTTAGCACAGCTTTCAATCAACATAGATGGGAGAAAAAAAATTTCATAACAAAACTAAACTTAAACAATATCAACACAGCAATCCAGCCCTACAGAAGATACTAGAAGGAAAACTCCAATGAAAACAACTACATGCAAGAAAACACAGGATATAAATAACTTGACAAAAAATTAAAAGAAAACAAGCATTGGAACAATATTACCACCATTTTCACAATAAAAGGAACTAATATTCATTGGTCATTATTATTATCAACATCAGTGGACCCAACTCTCCAATTTAAAGACACAGACTAACAGAATGGTTAGGATCCAACATTATGCTGCATCCAAGAGACACACCTCTACAACAAAGATAAACACTACCTCAGAGGAAAGGGCTGAAAAAAATGTTTTTCAAGCAAATGTACCCAGAAAACAATCTGGGGTAGCTATCCTAATATCTAATAAAATAGACTTTCAACCAAAATTAATTAAAAAAGATGAGGAGCGGCACCTCATTCTCATCAAAGAAAAATTCATCAGGAGGCCATCACAATCCTGAACATGCTACAAAAACAAGAGCACCTACATTTGTAAATGAAACATTATTAAAGCTTAAATCACACATCAATCCCAACACGTTTATAGTGGGAGACTCTCACCAAAGGACAGATCATCTAGATAGAAATGAAATACAGAAAAACAGACACAGAGGTCCTAAATCAAATGGACCTAATACATGTCTAGAGAACTTTTCAGCCAAACTCAAAAGAGCATATCTTCTTTTCAGCACCTCATGGAACCTTCTCAAAAATTGACCATGTAGTTGGGTGCAAGCAAGCCTCAACAGATACAAGAAGATTGAAACAATCCCTTGTATCCTATCAGACCACCATGACCTAAAACTAGACCTCAACAACAACAGAAATAACAAAAAACCTACATACACACAACTCTCTACTCAATGATAGCTTGGTCAGGAAAGAAATTAGAGTCTTCCTAAAATTCAATGACAATGAAGGCACAACTTACCTAAACTTATGGAGCACAATGAAAACAGTGCTAAGGATCAAGGACCTCAACATAAAACCAGATACTCTAAATCAGTTGGAAAAAAAAGTGGGAAACAGCCTAGAACTCATTGGCACAGGAGACAACTTCCTGAACAGAACACCAACAGCACAGGCTCTAAGAGCAACAATCAATAAATGGGACCTCATGAAACTGAAAAGCTTCTGCAAAGCAAAGGACACTGTCATCAAAACAAATAGCCTACAGATTGGGAAAGAATCTTCACCAACCCTTTATCTGACAGAGGACTCATATCCAGTATATATAA